AGGAAGGGTAGACTGTCTCACCACCACTGCCGCTGCTGTTGCTGCCGTCCTTACGAGGCTCTATGAAATGCAGTTGGCAAATAAGTTGTTGCAGCTACTGCTGTCTGCAGTAAAAGACTGGCGCTGACGCGCTTCTGCAGCAGCCGCTCCGATTCCTGCTGTTGCTGCTTTGTGGTGCTTGATGTACCTGTGCGTGCACCTGAGAATCAGTATTCCAGCGAACGTCCCACGAGTAGCGTAACTGCTGCTGCACCTGCTACTTCTGTTGTAGCTGTTGTTGCTGCATTAGGAATCCCTGTGGGGTACACGTACACCCCAGCAGCGTCAGCTCACGGGCATGTCAGTGACCAGTGGGGTTGTTGCTGCCGCTTCTGTTGTTGCAGTTGCTGCTACAGGCTGGGTGCCTGCTTCAGCAAGCGCATACTTCGATGAGTTCCAATAAAGCCAGCCTGAATGTGGCTACTTTCTAGCCTAGTAGTAACTTTGGCTGGTGCCGCTGCAGTATGTGAGCAGCAACAGCAATGACGGCGGCAGCACAAGCAATGGGAGCCCCACTCTAGGCATATCTATCGCTCTCCGTGTGTGTCGGAGTCCCTCAATCCCTGATGGCTTTAAAAGGGTAAAGCGGCTCGCCTTTTGACATGGTGAGCAATGCACAGTCGATTCTCTTTTGCCTTGTTTCGTCTGCCCTCCGACATTGCTGCTGCCGCCATTGCCGTTGCCGTCTCGTCTCCCTATCGCTCGTTGTCTCCCTGCCTACCTGACTTCCAGGACTGATCGTCGGCTTGACGGGACTCTTTTCCTTGGCTAGCTCACAGCACTGCTTTTCCACTAAGGGACAAAGACAAACCCTTCAAGTATTTCTTACCGTATTACCCCGAATGGCCGGAGGCCGATGAGACAGCAGGCCACAGCAACTGCGACCTGCGTGGCTTTTCCACATTCGTGCACTTCTTCCACAGTTCAGCCTTTTTTTGTGTTGTACCGGAGTTTGAGGCTAATGCGCTTCTCACGCGGGTTGCCGAACATGGTTGGCCGCCGGTAGTTCGCAATAGCATCGAAGACTTTTTAGTCACCGGCAGCAACCCTTGTTGCAACTGCTGCTGCCACTGCGCCGCTTCCCATCCAGGCATCATCAGTTTGACTCTCGCAGGTGTAACAGTATCTGACTGCTTGTTCGCTCCCTACCTAAAGAGAGCGAGCTGTCTCCTGAAACGGAGCTGTGCGACACCAATGTGCTTGCGTTTGGTGCTGCAACAGCAGTTATTCCTCCTCCCGTGTCCCAACGCTAGAGCACCATTTACTGCAGCCACTCGCAGTGTGGCTGCTGATAGTGCTGCTTCAGTCACTTTCTGTGCTTCCAAAAGCATTGTCCAGATCTTCGTGGCTAAGTTCACGCTGTGCGACTAAGGATCACTCGGCTATTGCCCGGTGCCAAATGATGCAAATTGCGAGTATCTAAAGTGCAGTTCACTGCCCTGCGGCAACCGTCTGGTGCCACTGCGAGTGTCGCTGCTGGTGTGCTGTGCTGCGCGTCAACTAAATGCAATGTCCACTACGTGCTGTTGTTGCTTTTTCTGTTCTCCCTTGCACTCCGGTAGTCAACTGGCGTGTTATCAAGTTGCCGCGCCGTTCCCAGAGGCAGCATCAGCAACAAAGGCAGCTCTAGATCCTTGAGCTACAGCACGTCACGCTGCGGCTGCTCCTGATGTTGCTGCTGATAGTGCTGCCCTTGCTGCCCATTTCGCATCTGAAGCTGCCGCGTGGGCCACCCCCCAGGGGGCTCCTATAATTCAAGTCGCACATGCAAATCAAAGCAGAAGCATTCGCTGCTGCTCTTCCTTTTGCTTGTCCTGCAGCTGTTTTCACTTCTGCTGCAGATGCAGTTCTCTAGGCTGCAGAGACAACAGCTTTCGCCGTGGCAGCTGGTTCTCTTGCTGGAGCAGCTATTGCCGGTGTTTCAGCTGCTGCAGCAGCAGGGGACACTGCTCCTGCACTTTCGGTACTGCGAAATGCTGCTTAGCCTTTGCAGCAGCCTGCTTGTTGCGGCTGTTGCGTCTGATAGTGGGGGTTACTACACAGCTGGACAGCACCGTCTCGGAGAGGTCTGGGGGAGGCCGGGGCCTCTGCTGCTCTTCCTTCAGCCTTTTGGTTGTAAATTTCCTGCAGCAAGTGTTCGAAAATCAATTTTACGTTGAGTGATGTAACAGCCGATGCCTCGCTAAAGAACAGACCGTTGCTCTGCGCAAAACGAGCAGCCAACTCGTAAGGCACCTACGCGCATTCCATACACACAATGTTGCAGTGGGAAATAACAACCAAAAAAATTTCCCGTGTTGGTAATAAACAACACGGTGGCTAAGTAACCGTTTGCCCAGCCTGTCTTGTGAGTTAATGGTTATGTTCAGAGCTCCTTAGGTAGCACTTTGAAAATTCCCCAGCTAGCTGGGGAATTTTCAAAGCGTACCAGCTAGCTGGTTAGAACGGGAAGGTACACGAACCAAACAAAAGGACAGAAACAGAACAGCAGCCAAGGAACAAAGGCATATGGTTCCCCAGAGCTACACAAGCAGACAAACACGCAGATGACGGATAGAAGTGAAGTCCCCACCCTTTCGCTAAGCAAACGTGAGCCTGTCGTGCCTCCCTCGTTCCGTCTGAGCTTCTCCCACTTTTTTACTAACAATTGCAGCAAACGACACACCTAATTTGCTTCTGTTCCTCGTCATTTAGGCATGCAGTGTATTTAAGTGAGTGTTTCTGTCTACCTCTCTCAAGGAGGGATCCTTTTCGCAGAGATCGACCTTATTGCCCACCATCATCACCACGATATCAGGCTCGGCATTTTGGCGCAGCTCCTCAAGCCACTTGCTAGCGCTTAGGAACGTCCTCTTCCGGGTCACGTCGTAGACCAGCAACGCGCCCACAGCCCGCCGGTAGTGCGCTGAAGTTATGCTGCGGTAACGCTCCTGGCCAGCTGTGTCCCAAATCTGCAGCAGCAGCAGCAGCGCCGCACGTGTGGGTGATGGCTACTAGAGATAAAATTGGGAAAATTAAACGCTTGCACTTTCAACTGAGGCTTCTCTCTGGTATTACTGCAATGTCTTCTGCCTCGGCGCCTACTAATGCTGCTGTTGCTGCTGCAAAACTCGCTCATAGTGGGCTCTAGCTGATTCTGCAGCTGATGCTGCAACTACTGCTGCTGCTGTTGTTGCCCTTGCGAGGATCCGACCTGTGCCTTGACTGTACCTCCTACAGCAAGAGGTACCGTTCTAGTGACGAATTCGACTCCTATCGTGGCCTTAGGATTTTGAGGAAGAGTGCCTCGGGTGTATCTGGAGAGTAAATGGGTCTTTCCCACAGTAGCATCTCCAACCAGAATTATCTTGTAGAGATGGTCGTACACATCGGCTGCCTGCGACTGGGCCATTGCTGCTACTGCCGCTGCGGCCGCTTTTTCTGCTGCTCTTGCCGCTGCTGTTCCAGGTGATAACTCAAACCAGCTGCTAGCGAATTACAGGATCTTCTTACGTCGAAAGGGTCATTTGCCACCGCGACCGCGTTTGTTGTTGCCGCTATTTCTGCTGCTGCGGCGGGTGGGCAATCTTACGCCGCAGAACATGCGAAGCCGCTACTGGCGAAACTGGCACAACCTTTTAACGGCAGCAGTAGCAGGGACCTTCTACTTCACCCTGTAGCAGTAGCCAACTAAGCGCAGCTGCGATTGCTGCCGCAGCTCTTGGCTCCCAGAGCCGCTTCAATTCTGGAGCTTGCAGCAAGTTGTTGCAGTGGCTGTTGCTGTTGATTTTCGTACGAGACAGCCTATTGGGGATGCCAACTCCACAGATGCGGCTGCTGTTGCTGCTCCCAACGCCTCCGCCACTGCCGCTGTATGTGCCGCTGCTGCCCAGGATTCTGGCTTTGTCTAGAGGTACCAAGCTACAGAAAATATAAGCAGTTTGCTCTGGTGTGCATACACCTCAGGCAGCAAGAAACGAACGGCTGAAGGCAGCGTGGGAAACGCGTGGGTCGGCCAGGTGTCGTGCCCGCGCAGCATCAGCAGCGGTACCAGCAACACTGTAGCAACCTCTTTCCGCTTGTCTTGCCAAATCCTTGAGAAGAAAATCACCCCAGAACATGGGAATAAAAGACTGTTGCTTAATTCGTCCCTTGGGTTTATTGTTGCCGCCGCTGCTCCTGCCGCTGCTGCTCCTGCTGCTCCCGAGCCGCCGCCGCCTGCACAACAGCAGCAGCAGCAGTAGCAGCAGCAGGAGTACTGGGAGCCGGCGTTCACGGCTATATCTGTCCCTGTGACAGCACTGGCGACAATTGAAACAGAAGCAAAGTGTTGGGCTTTCCTCATACATGATTGTTGGAGTGTTCGTACAGCTAAACAGCAGTAGGGCTTACACCCTCCCAGTCCCCCGGGTGCCGCCGCCGCCAAAGCAGCAGCGGCAGCAGCAGCCACTGAAAAGTAGGACTTCAAATGGCTCCCTAATCGGGCCAGCGAGAGCAGCGGATTTACTTACACACTTATCCCAGCTAGGCCCGGTGCCGCAACCGCTGAATGTTCCAAGTGCTGCGACTATCGTTGTTGCTGGTCACGCGAGTCTGGCTCCATGCGCTTCAATGATTACCTACAGACAGAGCCGCTGACACTTCGTCCCTCTGGCGTATCTCGTACGCAATGCAGATAGCAGAATCTGATGCATCAGGACCATCAGAAGCTCTAGGATCAGTAACACTAGGAGCAGCAACCACAGCAGGCGCAGCAGCTAACGTTGCAACTGCGGTGTTGAGCTGTTGCCTAAGACAAAGGGCCTTCATTCTGTCTTTCCATATAGCTGAATGGCCTGCGTGACATCAAGCCTTATATAAGTTCGTTGCTGCTCCTGCTTCCGCCACTCATGCGGCCCTAGGACACTCTCTTCGGGAATTGTACTGCAGTGTCTGTCCCGGTGTTGTTCCTCAGTTGTGGCTTCCCTGCTTCTGCAGTGACGATGGCAACGCCTGTGGTGAGAAACAACGCCCTCACGCCGTTGCTCCCGATCCATTTTTGGCTTGCTGTTGTCTATTTATTTTCCCCCGTTGTCACTGCCCGCATGTACCTCTGTCTTGGCTTGTACGTGTAAACGATTGTGCCTCTGTGACTCTATTTTCCGTCGTACTGTACCTCTTGTGTGGTTGTGTGTCGGCATGATGCGCATCTGTGCTTGCATCTTCCATTTATGCCTGTTGGTTTCTCCTCCGTCAGTCCGGCGGTGTTTATACTGTTATTTGTTCCTGTTTAGCCATATGACTCCGTATCTGGTGATTCTTGCTTCCATGATGCTATTGTGTTGATGCTGCTTCAGGGAAAAGAACAGCACGACTACCTTTTCAAATTTATTATAATTGGAGACGCGGGGGCCGGCAAGTCATGTCTGTTGCATCAGTTCATAGAAAACAAATGTACGTTCAACCAAATCCGTACCGTTGCTGGTGTTGCCCTATATTTTGTCAATGTGTCGTAGCTTTTCGCTCCTTATGTTCTGGGTTCGTCCCCTTCAATGCTCAGTTATCATTATCTAGAAACTCATTTATAGGGCAAGCAGCAGGGGCACAGGCATCTCCGCCGCCATTAGCCCCTCTACCAGGAAGCGAAGCACCGGAAAGGGCAGTTGCATTTTGTATGTTGTAGTCCGTAAGGGTGCCAGCCACACCATAGGCGTCGAGTTTGCTTCGAAAGTGATCAACATCGCCGATCGTCGCATCAAGCTGCAGATATGGGACACAGCGGGCCAAGAGAGGTACCGCTCTGTCACCCGCAGCTACTACAGAGGAGCAGCTGGGGCCCTTCTAGTGTATGACATATCCAAGTAGGCACGGGCTGGCTCATTTCGTTATTTGCTGGCTTGTGTTATCTCTGTTTTTGGTTTGCTTCTCCTTTAATTTCTTCGCCTTTTTTGGTATCATCCCCACGGTGTGACGGTCTCCTTGCCCCACTGTCTCTGTATGCATTTTCGCATATTTTTTATGGATGCCGACTTCTCTCTTATTTTGCTCATCTGTGCGGGTTTGTGTAGTGTCTGTCCACCTCTATGCTTGTGTCCTGGCATATCCGTGTCTCCGCTAATTTTTATGACAGGTTCTGTGTCTCCGTATCTTTTATTCGGTTATTCGGCCGAGTCTGCATTCTCTTCGCAAAAAATTTCCCGTGTACCTCTGTCTCTCCCAGTCCGGGGTGTAGGGCGTGTAGTGTGTAGGGCGTGTAGCCGAAAGACAATGCTTGAGGGTGCACATCTGATCACTATACCCCGCATTTGCGTAGCCCTGGCTTTCCCCTTCTGGACGTGTCTCCCGTTAGCGCTTCCGCATTTTGCTGGCACAATCTTCTTTTTCAGTTTCCAAGTACCTCTGCAGCCTCCGGAGCTTTGGGCGTTTGTCACGCTCTCATCGATCTTCCGTGTCAACTTCAGTGGTCTCTGCCATTTTTATCACTGATATGACTGCTGATTGTGCCTTCAATCGTGACGTTCGGCGTTGCTGCTGCTGCTCCTGCTGCAGTCGCGAGTCCTACAACCATTTGATAAACTGGCTCGCAGATGCACGCTCGTTAGCCCGCGCAGATATATCCATCGCCATCGTCGGTCAGCTAAGCTTCCTATCGTGTTCTCTCCCTTCGTTTGCGTTGGCCTTCTCTGAACTGTGCTAGCTCGGTTTGCCTGATTTCCGGGCCATTTATGGGCCGGCCTGTCTCATATGTTTGCGCGTCATTTATGCCCTTCCCGCATCTGTATTGGCATGCGTTTAGCCTCTCTCGTTGCCTTCGCTTTCTCTCTGCGCAAGTTTCACTTGCAACTTTCGTGTTTCTCTTTTCTGCTGTTTTTTCTCCTTTGTTTGAAATGGTTTCTTCCACGTTCGTCAGCTTTTATTTTGCTTAAGTGTATCACTTGTTGGTTCGTACCTTTCTGTAAGTCGTACCTTTCTGTTAAGTCTCTCGTCGCCTCCTCAATTTAATTTCCTTCACCTGTTTCCCCTTCGCAGCCTGAAGAGCCACTTAGCATGTGCCTCTTATGGTGCCACTGTTGTAACTGTTACCGCTACTGCGGAGCCGCTGCTACGTCAGGCAACAAGATGGATGTGAGGGAGAAGAGGGCCGTCACATTTCTGGAGGCCTCTCGTTTTGCTCAAGAAAACGGTAGAGTGGAATTTGCCTATTTCTGTATTTCTGGTTACTAGTCTCTTTTTCTTTCCCCTGCTTGTTTGCTAGTTCATGCCTACGCTCTGTTCCTACGTCTCCTTCCTTGGGCCCCTACCTGTATTGCTGCTTCCCTGTTCTCCTTGTTTGTTTCTGTTTTTGGCTTCGCCTGCAACCTCATGTTTGGTCTAGCGCTCTGAGTGGGCTGGCGCTGTGCCGTTATTAATGCTGTTGCTGCTGCTGCTGCAGATGTTCTCTTCTTAGAGACAAGTGCCTTAACTGGCGAAGGGGTGACAGATGTCTTTGTCCGCGTTGCGCGGCTCATCCTCAGCAAGATTGAAGATGGTTGGGCAGTGCATGCTGCACAATATTTCCGTATTAGCAGGCGCCTGCAGGAGCAGCAACAGTAGTAGCTGGAACAGAAGCTGCAGGATTAGCACAAGGAGCTATAATGAAGCAGCTATAGAAGTGGCGGTGCCGTCAGTTTCAGCAGCGGCGGTGTGTGAAATGTTTCCACATCTGCGCAGGGCTGATTGATGCAAATGCAATGGTTGCGGGACTTAGAGCTACAGGCACCCAGCTGGCTGATGGTTAGTTTCATCGGCTTGCTGCTTTTGTAGGAAAAATTGCTGTGCCTTGTCAATCTGCTTGTCCGTTGCTTTTTTGTCTCACTGTGGTGCTTCTTTGTGAGTATTCCCGTCGGCTGTTCACGCTTGCCTCGTATATTGCTGATGCGGGGTTCCTTTGTGCCTCTACTTTTTGTTGTTTATCTGTCTCTTTGCTGTCGAGCGAAATGTGGCGCTGCCATTCTTCTTTTTCCTGTTTCCACCTTGCTTCTTAGTTCCCTAGTCAGACTCGTTTTGGCGGATGCGCTGCGCACAGAAGGCCCAAAAACAGAGTCCTCTTCATGTTCCTGCTGACGTTGCACACAAACACTGCAGCTGCGACAGCGCTTCTGCTGCATGAGCTGCAGCACAACCCGCAGCAAAAGCTGCAGCCACAGCGCCACCAAACGCACCAGCAACGGCCGCTGAGGCATAAACACTGGCGGCCTTTGCAACACTTTCGGCCACTGCAACAACAGCAGCGTGAATGGGAGCCCCGCTTAAAGAAGCACTGCTTGTGGCAGCAGCAGCACCTGTCACCTTCTTGGCATTGACGAGATTTTCAGTTTCCCATGAAGTGCAGTGTCGTGAACTGCCTGTGTATTCGGAGACCTCAGCTATTGGTTGACGACCCAGGTTCACTACTGGGGACAAGTTCAGAGCCGCCTCAGTCCCTTGTTTGTCTTTTGTCTTCAAGTGCTGCGGCTGAGACAGAGCAGCAGCAGTGGTGTGGCGTTCATCGGCTTTATTACAGTTGACATCCTCTGACTGTTCTCAGAGATTGACTGGTAGACTAGTGTTTGTTTTCTATTGCTCATGTTCTATTTCTGTGTCTCGCCGGGGTAGGAACGTCATCGTGTCACAACTAATCTTATAGTCTGCCTCACGCACCACTGGATCCGGCCACACTTCGGTTGAACACTCAAAGTCAGGCCAAGTTAGAGGGAAGAAATAATAGAACAAAAGCAACGCTGCACCCAGCTCTCTGCAGCGCCCGCCCCCTCCACGGCTCGCTTGAAGCAACAAACTTTCAGAAGGTCAAGTAACTGATTGCGGGCCTGCACTGTGTTTTCTTCCACAGCCACGACGTCTGTTTCTGGGCCTGTTTGCGCAAGTCCACCAAACGAGTAGGCCCAGAGGTGGCGTGCTGTGGCCAGCAGTAGCCAGTGCAGCAGCTGATCTGCAAATGGTTGGTGGTTCGGGCGAAACTTTGCTTGCAAAGGTTTCGACCAAATTTTACTCTACATACTAGCATTCATCCTTAATGTTACAGCTAGGTATTTATTTTTTCCTGCATTCTCTGGCTTGCTGAGAGCTTACTGTTGCTGTGCCTGCTCTGCAGCGGGGTAGTCTACTAGCCATGCGTGTGCATCAGTGAGCCAATTTCAAGTCACACAACGTCCTGCAGTGTTGGGGGAAGCACTGTGCACATGACTAAGCTCGTATGGTCTTCTTGGCTCAGGAAACCCGGTGTATTGAGGTAGAAGCAGCATAGCTGCTGAATGCTGGCTGCCTTGCTTACTAGCTACGGAGGGCACGAGAGGTAGCACTGGCTATGCGGAGGACAGGGGTGCGTGTAGGAGCTAGAGTCCCAAAAACTGAGCGTCACACTCTTACTGTACTTACTGTCCATAGGAGAAACACGAAGTCAGCAACGGCGTCCCTACATGTCTTTTTGGAAGTTCTTTGGGGCCTGCAGCGATCCGCTACTGGTGCCTGTGCGATGTATCCGTGGGTGCAAAACCAGTAAAAGGTTCCTTCCTCCATTCTGGCATCCATCTGTCCAACTGCCACGCTCCGTGAAATCACGTATGAGAATGTGCAACCCTGTATGTCTTGAACTCATGAGCTGAAGGAGCGCATACAGCGACAAAGAAAGGTGTCCCTGCACGGAGCTGAGATGGGATGCAGGAGAACCCCGTTAGCTGCGTTCTCCCCTTCGCGAGAGTCCCGGGCCACCGCACGCCACCGCCCCCGTCGCAGCAACAGCAACAGCAGGAGCTGTAGCTGACAATTTTAAAAGTCAAAATAGGGCGCCAAAAATGCTAAGGCCAAAAGTGTGTGGACCGCGCTGATAGCTCAGTTGGGAGAGCGTTAGACTGAAGATCTAAAGGTCCCTGGTTCGATCCCGGGTCAGCGCGTCCGCTCACAATTATTCGGCCTTAGATCAACGCGCCTCTTTTGCTTCTGTATTGGTCGTGTTGCTGTTACGTAGGGCACGCTTAGTAAACTCTCAAGGCTGTCTATATACCAGAGGCCGCTGCAGCCCCCTTGAATATCCTGTGCTGGAGAAGGCAAGAGCAACAGCATCAGAATATATGGCGCCCGCAGTAAGCATTAGGCAAAAAGTCAGCACATAGCAGCAGCAGCTGCCTTAGTTACAGGAGTGACCACCAAGACATTTCTTTAAAAGCAGTGAGCTTCGCCAAAAAAAAGGAAAGGCTCAACGGCCTGCCTGAGAGACGGTGCTTCAACTGCTTTGTATCTCTGTCGACAAGTGGTACAAATGAGTCTTTAATCAGCTGGTTTCTCTCGCACGCATCCATAGTTCACGAATGCATAATGCAAGCAGAACTATGAATGGTAGTCCTGTAGGCCCGTCTGCTGTTGCACAGCATATGACGGCACTTTGCTCACCCTGCCCATCAGTAGCCTTAAAAACAGCCGCACTAAGCGCCATAACTGAAGAGGCAGCGGCACCAGCACGGCAAAACCTAACTAGCCGAGGCTCATGGGTTGCGCAACAGCCGTTATTTCTGCTGGTCCTTTACATCTACCCCAAATGCTGCTTCTGGAAATACCAACCTGTCAGGATGGCAACTGAGATGACTCCCCTGCCTCAGTGCCGTTGAGTCCCACGGCCACTCCACGGGCTCTCGACAATATTCTGCGGGAAGCAGACTGCTTGCGCATTTCCTCTGTGCCAGCTGTCTCCGTTCCTGTTGCCACTCACCGTACTGCAGCTTATGCTGTTCTCAACTCCGTTGCTGCTATTGTGGCTGCTGCTGCAGAATGAGCTGCAGGGAGGACTGTTTCCTGTGTGTCACCAGTGAGTCCATTGGAGGTAGCAGCAGGAAGGGTGTTTGCGGGCCTAATTCGATCTCTTTGTCTCTTGAGTCTCTCCTGCACCCACTGTAGGGGCCCCACTCTCTGGCTAACGTTGCGTATCTCTCGCGTAAGGTTCATGACGATAGACTTGCGGGGCCTTCGGTGTCCCTTGACGCTCTTCAAACCAAGCTCAACGGGCATCGCTGCCTCTTTTTGACGGGAGGCCGGCATATGGCTCCCTGGCTTGTACGAAACAACTGAGGCCGATAAACGGCCTCCTGAACGGCCCGCTGCTGCTGGAGGGGGACTAAGGGCAGACAAACGGTTTCGCGAGCGCTCCTGTCTCCGCTGGTACTTCAGCTGCTCTATCTTCGCTTGTGTCTCCATCTCCCTTGGACACAAATAGACACGCAGAGCATGATTCCCTACACCGACTAGTTTTTCGCAAGAGAAACCGGCAGCCACGTGCAACGCGGCGAGGCTCAAGTAAAAATGTACAGAATCACAACGGCAAACATTCGAAAATGGGGCGCAAACCCATAGGAAACACGGCAAAGGCAGAGCAGGTTAAAAACGTGGACACAAAAGGGAAAAGAAACAAGTCACATGACCACAGGGAGCCATACTGCAACTGCGCTGCTCATAAGAGGAAGTCCAAGAAGGAGCCGCAAAAGCACAGACAGGATAAGATACAAAAGCAGACAAATGCGAAGACAGCAACAACCCTTACACTATCTTGCCCTCCTCAGCCGCCTACCCACAGCCGGAATCACAGCCACAAATGTCAACGATTTCTTCCTCGGCAATTGGCAGATGCAATTCCTAAACCCTAGAACCTATGCCTATGAATTAACTCTATACTGACTCCAACACTGTCGGCACTGTAAATTGGAACCTCCGCGTGCACCTTTTCTCCTCTTGTCTGTCCGCTTCATGAAGCTCTACAAGTCTACTGAATGCATCAATTACGCCAACAGTCAGCACCACCAGAAGAAACACCAGCAGCCAAAACAGCAGCAACCCCAGCACGGCCAGAAACGCCACCAGCTGCAGCACTGCCAAAAATCACAATAGTATACAGAACACCAGAAAACACAACAACAGCAAAACCAATAACACCACTTCTACCCAAAGCAGCTGCAGCACTGGGATTCCGTTGTCTCAGCTGACCAGAGGCAGATAAGCATGGCATCGTAGAAATCTGCCGCGAAGTTCTCCAAAACGCAATCTCTGTTCTTCTTGTCGGACCTCTTAATAAAAACTTTGGCCTTGGAATAGGTCCAGTGGCCGTCTCGCAAGTCCCAGGCGCTGATAGACCCCAATTTCTCTGAGGCCAGCCCCCGAGCCGCCTGCAGGTCTGACTTGCTGTAGTACGTGAGAAACGAATCTGAGCAACAGCGCAACTGAGGAAGACCGTTTAAAGATATTATTTCTGCTCCACTGTATGCTCAAATACACGCATTTGAGAAACGGTGGGAGGTATTCACACTTCGACTCGTGTCGCTTGAAAGCTGCCTGTAACTGTAGATTATATGTGGGCCAGCGTGGAGAGTCAAAAAACAGCATGTATCTTGGACGTCTTATCCAAACTCATACTGAAACACTTCAGTAAACTCTGCATATCTGCGTGCAGGAACGTCCATTAGCTAAACAATACGCTGTTTGCGCATGACACTGCTGTACACCCTAATCTACAAAATATCCAACATGTTTTCATAGCATGCTTCCAGTTGTATGCTGCTTCCATTAGTGTGAGTGGAAGCACGCCTACAACTGCAGCAGCTGCAGTTGCTGTTGCTGGTCAAATAGCGGTGTCCCGACCTGGATCTGTTCCGTCCATGACAAAGAAGCGAAGCCTGTTGGCGACGATCGCCGGAGTCCAAATGACATCCAGCTTGGCTGCAAGGCACCCTCTCTTGCCTACGTCCCACGCCTGATGGTA